CAGACCCGGAAACGCGACGCGTCGCCAACCTTCCCCGTCCACTGCAGTGTGGGCGAGGTCTTCGGCAAGGAGACACGGGGCCAAAGGTTGAGCTGATGCGCGGCGTACCGGACCGCAAACGGCCACAGAAAATGGGGGGCAGCCGCATGGATCATGGAGGTACGAGCGACCTCCATGACTAAGCCAATGCGGCGCTCAGCAACCCCATTCTGCTGAGGAGAGGCCGGAAGCGTGAAAGTCTGGCGGATGCCGTGCTCCGCACAGAAGGCTGCCAAGAGGTCTGAAGAGAACTCACCACCTCTGTCAGAGTGCAGACGTAGGACAGGAAAGTCCGACTGGAACCGCTCGCGGAGCTAGAGACGAGTAGCGCGGATCCAGGGGATCAAAACATCAGGGACATCCGCCTTGCGCTGCAAGGGGAAGACCGTGGTGTAGCGCGTGTAGTCGTCGACAACCAGCAGGAAGTACCGCTCGTGGCCCTGTCCACGGACGCGGGCTGGGCCCCACACGTCCAGGTGGAGAGTCTGCAGTGGAGCCTCTGTGGGAGGGAACGAGGAGGAGTGAGGAGCGGCGCGCTGCCGCCCCTCGACGCAGGGAATGCAGGGCGGTGCAGGCGAGGGAGGGAGGGGAGGTAGAGACCTGGGAAGACCAGAAACCAGGAAGCGGGAGTGCATGCTGCGTAGGCGAGGCAGGGAGGAGTGACCAAGGCGGTGGTGCCACAGGAGAGTGTCGTGCGATAGCCGGCGACACTCACACTGTGTAGCTACCTGAGCAGACGCGTGCAACTGGGGAGACAAAGGGGTGGAGCGTGACGCAGTGGTGAGGGTGTAGAGACTGGACCCTGGCGCACGAGCGAACGTGGCCAGGTGGCGACCAGTCTGGGAGCACGTGCAAATCGCCACACGCTGCCGGCCAGGGGTGAAGGTGTCAACCCCCGCATCCTGGAGGACAGCGTTACTCACCAAGTTCGTAGAGAACGAGGGGAGGTGGAGACCAGACAGCTCACCAGACGGGACCGCCGGACACGGAAGCACAGTGGAAGACCGTGCAAGCACTGGGCCCCCAGAGGGGTCAGCCAGTGAGACAGGAACAGGTGCAGGGAGGGGAGTGACTGTGGTACTGTCGCGAAAGAAACAGCGGGAAGCACCAGAGTCAAGTGTAAATGTGTGCAAAGCCTGTGCAGGCGCAGTACCAAGGGGAGCAGACTCACAAGCACCTAGTGCTGCAGGGGCTATACCAGGATCCGGCGGCACACACAAGTAGCAGTCACCCTCAGCACTAACAGACAAGGCATACATAGCAGCATGAATTGCCTCATAGTCAAGATCAAAGATAGGTACATCACGTCTAAGCAAGTCTGCCCAGTTGGGGAACTCAGTAGCATCAGGAAACTTGGCGCGCCAGGCGTCGCTAAGCCGAGCGAAGCAGCGCTGCTCAGTGTGAAAACCTGTGCACTGGCGACCAGCGCGGGGACCTGTGCGGATGATATAGGGGCAGCGACCAGGACCCCCAGAAGCCCCACGCCCGGCATACCAGTCAAGAAGCTGCTGGGAAGTGGGGGTCTGGCACTGACGCTGATGCTGCTGCTGCTGCTGCTGCTGCTGCTGCAGCTGCTGCTGGCCCTGACCACCAATGCCACTACCGCCCCCTCCTCCCCCACCGCCGCTGCTGCCCCCTCCACCGCTCCCAGTGCCTCCGCCGCCCCCACCACCACCTCCACCGCCTCCACCCCCACGACCACCCCCACCACCTCCACCTCCCCCGCCGCCTGCACCACCGCCACCTCCACCGCCACCCCCACCGCCCCTGCCACCCCTGCCGCCCCTGCCGCTGCGACGCTTCCCACTAGGAGCGGAAGCAGCTCCGACCCCCTCAGCACCAAGGTAGTCGTGAGCAGCAGCTGCGGAGGCGTAGGAGGGGGTGAGAGGGGAGGGGGAGCACCCCTCAAAGAGGGGAGAGCGAGGGGTGCCACGAGCAGCACCTACAGCGAGGATGTTCTTCTCTGCTGCGAGGAGGTGCTTCTCGAAGTCGTCGACAGTGAGAGTGGTGGGGTCTAGCGCTAGGAAGTGGTCCCTGACAGAGCTAAGAGTGTCAGGGAGGCGGGTGACGAGGAAATAGAGAGTGAAGTACATCGGGGGGGGGTTTGCGGCGCAGAACTCGGCTGAAAGGGCGGCACGAAAGCGAGAGTCAGTAGCGCGCAGGTGAGAAACTAGGTCCTCAGCAGTGGTGAACGAGGAAAGATTGGGGAACAGGTACGGTAGCATGAGTCGACCTATGGCTGCAGTGGCCGGGGAGGAGTAGCGCGCAACTACAGCATCGTACAGTGTCTTAGCAGTTCTGTGGCTGAAATGCGCTCGCTCAGTAATCGGCAGGTGGTTCCTAATAGCTAGGCGTGCAGCAGCATCACGGGTCTGCCACTTGGAACGTTCTAGAGCAGGAGCATCAGCAGCAGGAGTAACGGCAGTGCCAGAGACGTAATCAAACAGGGAAACGCCCTCTTTGGCATCAGTCAGAAGGAACAGCTGGAGATCGTCTAACCACACAGTGAACTCGATGGGACGTCCGTCGGGCTCGAACGCTAGAACGTTAGGCGTCGCCATATTCGCAGGCAGGCGGCAGCAGGCAGCAAGCAGGCAGGCGGCAGCAGGCAGCAAGCAGCAGGCTGGCAGCACGCAAGCAGCAGGCAGCAAGCAGGCAGGCAGGCAGGCGGCAGCAGGCAGCAAGCAGGCAGGCGGCAGCAGGCAGCAAGCAGTAGGCAGGCAGCTGGCAGGTAGCAGGCAGGCAGCAGCAGGCAGCAAGCAGGCAGGCGGCAGCAGGCAGCAAGCAGTAGGCAGGCAGCAGGTAGGCTGCAGGCAGGCAGGCAGGCGGCAGGCAGGCGGCAGCAGGCAGCAAGCAGTAGGCAGGCAGCAGGCAGGCTGCAGGCAGGCGGCAGCAGGCAGCAAGCAGGCAGGCGGCAGTAGGCAGCAAGCAGTAGGCATGCAGCAGGCAGGCAGCAGGCAGGCTGCAGGCAGGCGGCAGCAGGCAGCAAGCAGGCAGGCAGGCAGGCAGCAGGTAGGCAGCAGGCAGGAGCGGCCTGAGGGCTGCGTGAGACTGCTGGCTGCGTGTGGCGGCTTGCTGCACGAGGCTGCAGGTTGCACGTGGCTACTGGCAGCGCGCGCAGCTGCAGGCTGCTCGTGGCGACGCGCGGGCTGGCAGCAGGCTGCGTGGGCGGCTGGCGCGGCGTGTGGGGCCTAAAACGGGCTACACGGCGCGTGGGGCCTAAAACGGGCTACACGGCGCGTGGGGCCTAAAACGGGCTACACGGACGCGGCGCGCAGGGCCTAAGCAGGTGCGCACGGGCGGCTTACACGGCGCACGGGCCGACGGCAGGCTGCGCGGGTGGCTGACGTGGCGCGCGGGGCCGAAAACGGGCTACGCGCGGGCTGCTTAAGTGGCGCGCACGGAAAAAAAAAAAGAGGCCGCGCGCGTGTAGCTGAGGCGCGCGCGGGCAGCAGGCAAGGCAGACGAAGTAATGCAGTAATCGGTGGGCCCTAATCTTAGGTCCTAACGACCTATGCTCTAGATACCATCTTAGAAGTTAGGCATGGTTTTAGAAGTGTCGACTATCGAGATGGTGGTACAAAGGAAAATTGACCTAAGGGGTTGTACCCTACAATGTGTACCCCACTAAGCCTACCCAAAATATAACATAGCTATACATATGTTTGACAGGGGCGGCTGCTTCAGGGGCCAGGGGCGGCTGCTCTGGGTCCAGGGGCGGCTGCTCGAGGGGCGGCTGCTGCAGGGGCCAGGGGCGGCTGCTCTGGGTCCAGGGGCGGCTGCTCGAGGGTCCAGGGGCGGCTGCACCAGGGGCGGCTGCTTTAGGGGCAAGGGGCGGCTGCTGCAGGGGCGGCTGCAGCAAGTAGCAGCAGCGGCAGCAAGTAGAAGCAGCAACACAGGCGCAGTGCAGCGTGTAGGCCTGGCGTGGGCTGTACTGGCCGCGTGCGGGCCTGACGTGGCCTGTACGGGCTGCGCGAATGCCTAGCGCGGACTGTACGGGCCGCTCTCGGGCCTGACTTGGCCTGTACGGGCTGCGCTAACGCCTAGCGCTGACTGTACGGGCCGCGCGCGGGCCTAACGTAGGCTATACGGGCCGCGCGCGGGCGTGGCGCGAGCTGTACGGGCGGCGCGAAGGCCAGACGGGGGCTGTACGGGCTGCTCGCTGGCTACGCGCGACAGGACAGGGCAGGGCCGCGGGGCAGCGAAAATCGATGCACCTAAGGGCGCATTTCGGGCAGAAAAAAAAAGCAGAGAACGAGATTCGGGGAGGAACACGGAAGGTTTAACGGTGGGCCCTAAAAGAAAATCGTCCTAGGCTAGGAACGTCCTAGCTCTTAATACCATGTCAGAATCTTACGGGAAAGTTGTGTGTCGAGTATTGAAGGGAAAAGATACAAAGGAGAAACCCCACAGTGAGTACCCCACTAAGCCTAACCAAACTATAACAAATATACACATATGTTTGATAGGGAACAGTGGTGTACGCGTTGAGCAGGGACACTAAGTAAGGAAAAGTGAGTTTCCTTAGAGCATTGGACTATTGTAGATGAGTGAGAGATATAGGTATAAACACCAATGTCAAGCTTGTCACTTCTACTACCATCTAACTGAATAGGGCACTGCTGGAATTCTGCTACAATCTAGAGAGCGAAGTGATCTCTCTTCATACGTTTCAAGACCTACCGGTAGTACACTACCAATGACTCTGCACATACACAATGTGGAATAAGGTAGCCAACTGAATGGTGCTCATATCTCTACAATCTACAAGTACAACGAGGAGTTTATACCCTACATGCAACGAAGGCGGATGGGAATAACTCAAAAGAAAGAACTATCAGAACCAAAATTCCACTGTAGAACTACCAGTACCCACAAAAAATATACGGGTGGGTAGCATCCAGGTATTGCTGTCCATTCCCATTGTCAGTCCCCATCTCAGTCGCAACCTTTGCTTGCATTTACTGTCCATCACTGGCCAATCTATCCCCCAACCTCGGCTTCTCCTCGCCATCATCACATCTCCTCGGCATCTTCTCCCCGGGCATGTCAAACTTCTCCGCAAACTTTTCAACAGCTGCCCGAAGCTCCTGCACTTCTGCTGAATCAGCCAGCTGATCCAACCCACCTGCTCCTGCCCCCCATGCCACTGCTCCCAATCCACTCCGCGGCCTCTTCCGTCCAATCATCTGCCCCCCACTCTTCACCCCACCCTTTCCCCCAGACCCCATAGGACCAGCAGCAGCACCACCACCACCACTGCCTGAAGCAGTAGAAGCAGCTGCCAATGCTGCAGCAGCAGGGCCAGCAGCAGCACCGCCACCACTAGAACTGGGAACAGAGAGCATTCCGGAAGCAGGTGAAGCAGAGGCAGCTGCAGGGGAAGGCGAGAGGGAGAGCTGCAGCCGCTGGGAGTGCAGCGAGCGCTGGGCTATCTGCACGGCCCTGACGAGGAAGTCGGCAATTCGGTCCATGTCCGCCTCCTTGCACCCCCTCGTGGTCATGGCTGGCGTGCCTGGAGGAGCCAGAAGGAAGAAGCATGAAGGAGGAAAGGAAAGGTTGAGCTGAGATTGAGGCACGCGTGTCGAAACAAAATTTGTGCAGAAGAGAGGAAAGCACGGGGGAGGTAGTGGGGGGGGAAGGGAGAGGCAAGGAAAGCTGCTTGCAAAACTTCTCAGTAAGTAGCTTCTTGACTAAGGAAGCGTCATGCTGCACGCCTCGCACCCTTCCAAACCAATTCTTACCTCCAACAAGAAAAAGCTTGCAAGGCCAAAGTTGATACACACTGACACGTTACTAACGGACGCGTTACTCACCAATGCGGACGCCGCCAGGCAGGGCGGAGTTGTCTCCGAAGACGGCGTTCTTGTTGAGCGTGATGCTGCACGCCTCGCACACCTTCTCAAAGCGCCCCCCCGTGAGGCCGAGCGGGCGCAGGTCCCACAGCAACAGGTGGTTGTCCGTGCCGCCCGTCACTATTCGGCACCCCCGCCGCGCAAGCGCCGCTGCTAGCGCCCTCGCGTTGCGCTTCACCTGGATCATGTACGCGCGGAACGCGGGAGACGCCGCCTGCTTGAGCGAGACGGCGAGCGCGGCCGTGTGGTTGTTGTGCGGGCCGCCCTGCATGGACGGGAACACCGCGAAGTTGATTCGGTCCTCCAGATCGTACACCGGCACCCGCGCCGACGGAGGCGGCGGCGGCGGCGAAGCACTCGCTCCCCCTGCTGCCGCCTCTCCTCCCCCTCCGCCTCCCCCGCTTCCCCCTGCCCCGTTTTTACAGCAGTTGCTGCCTCCACAACAACATCGCGCGGTGTTCGCGGCTGCTGCCGACGCGCTGCCGCTATTCCCGGCGGTTTCCCCTCGGCGGCGGCGGTAGAAGACGAGTCCGCCTCTGGGCCCTCGGAGCGTCTTGTGCGTCGTGCTGGTTACCACATCGGCGAAATCGAACGGGCTGTTACACTCCTGCGCCGCGACGAGCCCGCTGATATGAGCCATGTCGCACATGAGAATCGCACCGCATTTGTCCGCGATGCGGCGACACCGCGCGAAATCCCACTCGCGCGGATACGCGCTTCCGCCTACCACAAGCAGCCGCGGGCGGTACTCCTGCGCCTTCTCCTCCATGCGCTCATAGTCAATTAATCCAGTAACGGGATTCACCTTATAAGGAAGCGTTTCGAAATAAATCGACGCGCCGGAGACTTTCTTCCCGCCATTGGTGTAAAATCCGTGACTCAGATGCCCACCGGACGGAAGATCCAATCCCATTATCCGATCTCCCGGCGTCAGGAGCGCCGTGTAAACAGCGAAGTTCGCCGACGTGCAAGAGTACGGCTGTACGTTCACTCCCCACCGTTGCGGGTCGAGATGAAACGCGGCGAGCGCGCGTTCGCGGCACAGATTCTCCATAGCGTCGATCCACTGGTTGCCGCCATAGTACCGCGCTCCGGGCATTCCTTCCGAGTACTTATTCGTCATCGGGCTCCCTAGCGCCTCGAGAACCGCCTGCGAGGTGAAATTTTCCGACGCAATCAACTCTAGGCAGCTCCGTTGGCGTCGCTTCTCCCCCTGAATAAGTCGCCAGATGTCCGGATCTGCTTCTTCTAAGGACGAGTTACCCCATACGCTAACCGGTTCGAAGGCCGCTAGGTCCTCCGCGTTAGATCGCGAAGATTTGACGGGAACGATCGCGCCATTACCGAGTGAGCTGCTGCTTTCCTCCCCGGATGGCTCCAGCTTTGTTCGCACGACGGGCTTGCGATCGGATTCGACGTCGCCGTCGCCGTCGCCAGGCTCGCCTGCGAACTCGCGATTGGGACGCACGCAGGGAGCGCTGGATGATCTATGATGCTTGTTGGAGCGCTGCGATTGGTCCGCCGACTGCTGCGACTGTTGCTGCGACTGCTCGAGACTAGGCGACGGGCTCATGAAGACAAAAGTGGGAGTCGGCTCGCGGCCGTTCGCGGAGATGCCGGCACCAAACGAGGGCGAACGAGGCTCCTCTTTGGCGAAGAGAGGCTGCGGTGAAGCGCGATGTGCGCTGTCCTGCTGCATGTGTTGTTGCTGGGACTGTTGCTGTTGTTGTGGCCTTACTATATCCGCCCGCAATTGCTGTTGCTGCTGCATGTGCTGCTGTGCATGAACTTGTTGCAACAGTGCTTGATGCTGATGTTGGCTTTGTAAAAAAGGGTGAGTTGAGTTGTAATTAATGGCGGAGCGGTCAGGCGAGCCGCGTCCCATGTGCGGGTTTAACTTGCAGGCGAGAGCGGCTTGCTGCGGGAGAGCCTCGGACGGCGAGGAAGAGACGGCGGAAAACGCGGAGGGGGTATTGAAGAAGTTGAACGACGAGGATGAGTTTTGCGGTTCGTGCTTCGTGGGATGCTCGGGCTCAGGCTTTAAAATCGAGCCGGAAATTGAGGAGGTGTTATGAGTGGTCTGCAGCAGCTGGAGAGTAGGAGACGGAGCCATGCGCATAATATGGTTCTAGATTCGCTTAGGTATCTTGAAGCCAAGCTCTCGTTGTTGGTGTCTAAGCAGCCAGCACAAAGAGAGCTCGGGAAAAATAACACACACAAAAATCCTTGACTCTCTGAGCTTGCACGCTAACACTCCGATAGTCGACTAAAATTGTGAGATATGGCAGTCCTGAGAAAAAACTCTTAGGGTTTCCGGAAGACCTGGGAACCAAGTGCAGGCAGCTTGCAAGGCGGACGAGCTTGTCCTTGGATATGAACCAGCCAAAGAGGACGTCAGCCACTGGCTGAAAAAAAGCAGCTTACAGCCTGTAGGAGAGCGAGAGGAAGGATAAGAGCTTCCAATCAATCATGCATTTCCATGGTGTTCTGAGAACCACAATCTCCTCCCCAGCCCACACACCATACCACTCGTGTTGCAGTACAGAGAACCACCATCAATATGTCTGTTTCTTGGGGTAATTACATTCTGGGTAACCAACATCGAGCCCGCTGACGTCAAAAGTCACCTACGTGGCTCGATGGTACCCGTCAGATCATGCGCACCCCTTGGTGGTACCCATCTTCCCTCCGTGGTACCCATCTTCCCTGCGTGGTACCCATCAACTGTGCGTGAATTCCCTGACTGGTACCGCAACATTTCAACCGAGCTGTACACCGTACAACAAGGGTTTCAATGCGATTTTCACTATATTATACCAACGTTTTCTGTCTGCAATTGAACATTAATACATTTGAACATTAATACCTTTGAACGTGCCTTACACTGGATAGAGTGCAACCTAGAAAAAATCAGCTCCCCTTCTAAATTCCTCACGTTACCTCCGAACCTTTGTAAGCTCACATCACTGAGCGATAGGTAGCGTGAATCTTACGACCATGTTTCTCAGCGCGCAGTTGGTAATCTGAACAAAGTTCATAAGGTTGTATGCAAATAAATTGAGCATGTACCCCCACAGCTAAATAGAAAAGCATAAACAAATAATACGTACATTCGTTGGTTTCCGGAAACAAAACAATACCCATTAATGAAAATCAAATAACCTTAAGTCAATATATATATTACGTGTCAGTTGATCATTTGTTACACGGATGTTAATTTTTGTGTTTCGGTTGATGCAATATATCTGTGGTGATTTAAATTATAGCACGTTATAATGTGGATGTTTATGAGCCTAAAGAAATCTACACAATAAATGTTTTCCTAAATTCAGCTTTTCTTCTACACTTTATTATAGGTAATGCGCTTGAAAATTTGACCCGATTATGTGGCACTTCGGGCTTCGGACTCTATTGAGCTTGTAAACGTTAAGACAATATAGTGAAAAACGCATTGACACCCTTGTTGTACGGTGTACAGCTCGGTTGAAATGTTGCGGTACCAGTCAGGGAATTCGCGCACAGTTGATGGGTACCACGCAGGGAAGATGGGTACCACGGAGGGAAGATGGGTACCACCAAGGGGTGCGCATGATCTGACGGGTACCATCGAGCCACGTAGGTGACTTTTGACGTCAGCGGGCTCAATGTTGGTTACCCAGAATGTAATTACCCTTCTCGAGAACAACGAACAGGTCGACTGTCCGGCTGCTCGGCTGTTGCGCTGGCAAGGTTCGGAGCAAGGGTGTTGCGCGATTGGCTGGCATGGCGGAGACGGAGGCACAGGTTAGGCGGGAGAGGTTGCAGGGTGGGGGAGGAAGTGAGGAGGGAAGGGGAGGAGATGCGCACTAAAGCAGGTGCTTTCGCGCGAAAGCACATCACAAGGGGAGCGGCAGATGAGACGAAGCCGTCGCGTCCAACGAGGGTGGGTCAGGTGGAACGCCACTGGCTGAGATTGCCACCGTGGCAGAAAGGAAAACCCGTTCTGGGGAATGGTGGCTGGAAGAAAGTTTGTCGGGACTCGGTCGGAACTCGGGGGGGTCGGGATCAGAAACTGGTCAGGGGAATTCTGTGGGGGAAGCGGACAGGTCACCGCAAGCGGGCATGTTGCGGAAACCGTGCGGGGAGGGGGAAACCAGTGGGACACGAGATAAAGGGGGGGGATGTATGTGTCCCGTTGTTGCAAGCAAGGTCCCTCCCTCATTGATGAGGCCAGTGGAGTCGAGTGCCTGTCGAAAATGACTACATCGATGCGTGAAAAGCAAAACTGCAGGTAGCTTGACCTCTGGGTGGAGGGAAGGGCCGACAATGGCAATGCCGCCATGCCATGGCTGTGCTGTGCATGGCAGCTTTGGGAATTCCACATCAGATCGGACCCTACCTGATGCTGATGATGGCATTTCGCTGATCTGGTGAGCAGGATTGTGAGCTGAAGTGCAGGGTAGGATTGTATGCGCACGTGCCTCCTCCCATCGTCAAATCCTCCTTGGCCAACCACACACAGTCGGTGGTTTGGAACGAATTTACTGAGCATCGTAACGCGACAGCACTGCATGATCGACAAATCACCGCATTTCCATACGCTTGCCACTTTCATTCGATGCACCTAGCTAGAATTAGGAGGCAATTGAGAAAGTTTGAACAAGAATGAATGAACTATGAATGAAGTGAGTACATATAGGAAATCATAATTGGGTTGTACCCCCTATGGGATACCCCACTATAGCCTACACAACTGCATAAGCTGTATATATGTTCTGACACACCCCCATAGGCAAAGTGGGGGAGAACAAGGGGTCACAAGACCAGTCACGCAAAGCACAGCAAGCTCAGGGTGGATCACAAAGTCACCACACAGTCCGAGCACAACGACAAGGCCACAAGGCCAGTTCACATGCAGGAGTGCACATATATATATAGAGCTAGACAAGCAAGAGCAGGTATATATATGTGACAGTACAAGCAAGGTCAAGAGGAGAGCAAGTGAGGCAAGACAGGTACAAGACCCAGCTGAGTGCAGAAGCGCTGATGGTCACAAGGCGCAAGTGCCTTGGTGAACACATCAGCAGTGTTGGCCTCAGAGGCCACGTACGCAAGTCGCAACTGACCACGCTGCTGCAGCTCACGAGCAAGAAAGTAACGAAGAGCAATGTGCTTCGTTCTGTGCTCCAAGCGCTGCTCTCGACACAAGGCCAGCATGGCCTTGTTATCTACGTACAGCACTGGAGGAGAACGAGGCGGCTCTCCAAGGTCAGTCAGCAGGTAGGTGAGCCAGCGAAGCTCCTGTGCAGCCATGGCCCCGGCGTAGATCTCAGCCTCACAACTGGAGCCGAGCACAGAGGACGAGCGAGTAGCCCGCCACGAGACAGAGCCGGAACCAAGACTGAAGGTGTAACCCTGCGACGACCGCTGCGTAGCCTGGTCGTCAGCCCAAGAAGCGTCCGCGTGCCCAGTGAGGACCACTGGACTCCGCCCTCCAAGCACTAGCCCCATGCCCGACGTACTGCACAAGTAGCGCAACACCCTCTTCGCTGCAGCCATGTGCTCTGGTCGGTGTCTCCCAGGAGCAACATAGCGTGCAAGAATGCTAAGAGGGTATGCAAGGTCAGGTCGTGTGCAGGTCATCAGGTACATGAGGCAGCCAACAAGCTCTGGGTACGGGCCACTCGACTCTACGGACTCATCCGAAGGCAGAGCTGAGAGCGAGTGGCGAGTAGACAGAGGAGTGGCCTGAGGCGAGGAGTACGTGAAGCCGAAGCGCTGAAGGACCTGCTGCACCATGTGTGACTGAGTCAAGGTAATGGTGCGGCGTGCTCTGTCCCGAGTGATCTGCAAGCCAAGGTAGCTGCGCAGTTCACCCAGGTCTGTGCACGTGTGTCTCTTCTGTAGCTCGGACTTCACGTAGGCTAGTCCAGCAGTGTCAGCTGTGGCAAAGACCAAGTCGTCGACGTACACGAGGATGTAGAACGGCGGCAAAGAAGTGTCAGTGCGCAGAAACAACGACGGGTCAGCCGTAGAGGGAGCAAACCCAAGAGCCGCAAGCGTAGTCCTCAGTGTGTCGTGCCACTCACGCGGTGCCTGGCGGAGACCGTAGACTGGCCGTCGGAGGCTCCACTGGGTGCCAGTAGGGAAAGTCCCAGTGAAGCCAGGTGGACGGCGCAGCCAGATCTCCTCGTGCAGGCTACCCTGCAAGAAAGCAGTGCTGAAGTCAAGAGAGTGGAGCTCGTAGTCGCGCTGAGCGGCTATGTGCAGCAGCACCCGAAGAGTGGTCATCTTCGGGGTGGGAGAGAAAGTCTGAAAGTAGTCAACTCCCTGCCGCTGACTGAAGCCACGAGCGACGTACCGCGCCTTGAAGACAGGTGGAGAGCCCGGCGGCCGCTTCACCCTGAAGATCCACATGCCACTGACGATGTTCGCCCCAGGAGGGGGAACCGCGTCAACGTAGGTGCCTGTGGACTTCCAGGACGCCATCTCTGCATCCATAGCTGCCTGCCACTGAGAGGAGTAGGGACCCTCTACGGCCTCCGCGTAAGAGCGCGGAGTCGGGATGTCTAGTGCATCCGGGTCTCCCTCAGG